GCCGTGCCGTTGCTATGCCCTTGTGTGCCGGTCAAGGTTATTGATTCCCACGCTCATCGCACGCGGTCAAGGTGCTGACGGCCGGACTTTGTCACCAGTGTGGACTCTTGAGCAATTTGGGTCGTCGATAATTTTTTTGCCTAGACAAAGTCTCAGCGCCAAATATGGAGCGGGGAGGTCATTGCGCTTGCGGACTGAGAACCGGGAAACCATGACTCGAGCAGTTCGCGGCTCCCGCGATTGTCACCTCTAGCAAGGATTTGTGCTTCGTCAAACTTGAATGTGCGATTGGGTTCCGTAGAATAAGCCGCGACTTGGGAGCTGGCGTCTTTCCTCCTCACCGCTTCTGCGTGCTCGGCCACACGCGTTCGCAGTAGTCTTCAGATTTCTCCGACATAGTTGCTTTGCCCGCAGCTGCACCAGACATGGTAAACGACCCCAGATGTTTCTTGTCGCGGCAATGGGTCTTTCGGCCTCATGATCTGACGCCTTACGGTTGCCTCCGGTCCGTGTACTACTCCAGTTCCAAAGGGTGCTAGAAGAGTGCGAGAGACTTGAACTGCTCTCACTTCCTGTTTAGAAGACAACATCAATCGGCTCGAGATTAGTTTTTACACTGACAGCTCGCAGGGCGTAATTCGTAGGCCGTCGGTCAGTGCCACACGCTGTTTATGACCTTTTGGTACTACCACAGTACTTACCTTTGAATCCCAGTGGTCCAAACGACTAAAGTGAGGAATGCCTGCTGGTGTCTAGATCGAGCCCCAAAGCACAACTGGACGGACATGTCTCCTAACCAGATTCGGTGAATGGTCTTTTAAATTCGCACAGGAACTGATTGGGTAAAATTATCCGAAGACAAATTTTGACTCAAGTTCGTATTCAATGACTAAAGTCAAATTTATCTCACCCAAATGCGAATAAGTGCAAACGATTATTTGGTAAAACTGACTTATGTGACCCCCTAAACAGGGTGTGAGAACAGGAACTGCCCGCAATACGGGTGGCTTTGAGACATCTTCTAGTTAAATTTGAGTTTAGTCAATGGTTAGAGTTAAAGATAAGATTTAAGGCTAGGTGTAAAGTTAACGGTAACTAAGTTAGGATAAAGTTTAAGGTTAAGGTAGAGGCTAGTGTTCACCGAATTCCAATAAGTGCCTTCGACATCACTGAGATTTGTCTGTCGTTATTCGAAATTAGTTCTAATAATAACATCCCGCAAGACACAGACGAGCTATGAAAATCATTTATCATCGGCCTCCATACACAGGGGCATCGTGATGGAAGCTGGCGGTGATTTCGTATTAGACAGAGATCCTTGGTGCGACAGTATACGGAGTTTCTGTGCACTTTTAATTGTGAGTGGGGTTCACAGTTTTCAGCCGTCGTCGTCGTAGTACTTTTGACTTATGAGATTGGAAAAAGGAACACTTGATTGGACAACTGAAACGATGGTGTCAAAATAGATACATTCAAACTGTTTAGAATGCAACGTTAGTCGGCTCGAGATTAGTCTTTACACTGACAGTTCGTCGAGAGTAATTCATAGACCACCGGTCAACGTCACACCCTATTTATTTATACTGCAGTCACTGGAGACTAGTTTTTACACCGACGGCGCGCCAGCTAATGAAAGATCGTAGAACTCGCCCATCTGATTCAAAGACGGTCTGCCTCCTCATACATAGGGCGACATGATGGTGACCGGTAAACACAGGCATTAAATTCGTCTCTTCTGTGGGGCATGGGGATACGGACCTCCCGTATCACACATGGCCTTGCGCTAGATTCCAGGGAAGTTAGGTTAGCGCAAGTGTTGGAAGAGTTAGAATTAGGCCCCCGGTTAGTGATAGGAGGGTCAGTGATAGGGTCGTGTGGATAAGCGCAAGGATTAGGCTTCGCAGGACCAAAATGGTGGTCGATGTCATTGGTTGTGGTTAAAATTAGGACATGAGAATGGGCCCGCCCTCTGAAATTAGTGTAAGGCCAACTTTGACACAGGACGCCCACGTATTCGTGTCAGACCAGTTTTCAACGGTCTTTTTTCATTGTCCTTGGGAATCGTAATACCGCCGAAGTAAACGCCCCATCGGACAGGTGAACCCTTTTTGTCCTTATATAGAGACGCGTTCCCGTGTCTACCTCCTACGTAGTTCAGTTTAGGAAAAATCTGTACGAACGTTATTTTCGAATGGACAAGTTTGCTCAGTAAAAGTTGAGCCGTTTGATTGACGTTTACAGTATGGTGGCCAGCGCCATTTTTGAGTACTCATTTTGGAATCCGTGTACTCAACGTGTTAGCGAATAGTCATGCAGACTAGCCACAATTGTAACATTGCGAAGGATACATCGGGAAAATCGGTACCGTAATGTTAAAGTGCAGTGCAAGCTTATCATCTACGCGCACAAGACAGACTGCAGGGGTTATCGAGGCAATCTAATAATTCGAAAGTAGTTTTCAATAATGTCATGATTAGTTCTTTGCGTCGGATTGCGACCGTCGAGTATGACGATGTCGAACGTAGGCTCCACCGAAGGGTGAGGGCCGAGACGGTGATTGGCGAGTTTATTAACTTAAAGTGATAGTAGACTTGCGCAGCATCTACCGCGCTCTCTCGTCCCCATCCGCCACCTGGACCCGTTGACAAGAGCGAGTCAAGAAGACCGGAGGTGGGGGAGGACGCAGGTTGATGGCGCGGTCGAGCCTGAACCTTGGCTCTCCACTCCACACCCCCTGTTCCACACAACAAATGACCAGGATTTTTTGCCAACAACAGCACCTCAAAAGAGGCCAGAGCGACTAGAGTGACCAGACAACCATGTCCACCACCTGCGTATCTAGCGGGTGCGTAAGCGCATCTACCGGCAGGGAACCAGGCGTTAGGGCACTGCCAGCGCATACCAGGCTGCGAAGGTCATGGTTTGCTCATACTGGCATGGCACACGCTTAGGGACCTTTAGACCTAGAAGTTCGACACGCGATCCTAGATTTTGCCCCAAAGTTGGGTAAGTAAACGGTCTTGAAGAAGGAGACATGATCGCCTTCGTCAAGACTACTTCCTGGGACTTGTCTCTTCGCTTCTATAACCAAACGGTCTTCGACTGAGTCGTCAACCGAGAGGCACTACCCGATAGGGTACACACACTCTCCTCACATACACGAGAGTGTCACAGATCGCCGGAGAATGAGCCGCTTCAGCCTAGCTCTTAGCCCAACATTCCGCCACTCCACAAAAGCATACACAGACACACAGCTGGACGGACTGGGTGGACTGAGTTGAAGCATCAGTCGACTGCCTTCCGAGCCACGGCACTCGACGCCTCGTGGAAGTCTTGGACTCCGAGCACACATGCAACTGGGGGGGGGGGGGCGCATGAAGAAGGATTCGAGATGCGCGCTACCCACTTGCGTGGGAGATGGCGGTTGGGTGTCTGGGGTGGGTGAGTTTGATGTGCGGTGGGATGTTGGTGGGTGAGGATCTAGTGGTGTGATGCAGCCGACGGTGGTCTAACTCTGATTTACGTGGACGCGCATGTGGCCTAATAGACCCATGCGATGAAAAATGTGCAACTGCTATATGCACATTAGAGGCTGATGCGGCGAGTGTAGTACGGCGTGTGTAGGTTGGTGCTCCAAGCACCGGGCATGTGTACAAGCACAGCTCGGACCTGCACGCAACGTCCCCAACGAACGTAGCGAGGAAAGAAGAATTAAAGTCGCCAGTCCGTATCAGACGCCGCAGCATACGAATGCCATAATTTAACCTGGAATTTACCGTAGATGCTGTTAGACCATTCTGGGGGTTATCTCCGCCAATGCAGGCAGTGTTTGTCACCCGAGTCTTCTCTGTGATAGGACAGACCGGTCGATGAGCCGGACCACCTCACTTCCAGCTGTAACCGTCAGCTGCAAACAGTATTTTCATAGTAAAATGAATATACGATTATTAGAACAGTGGTCGCAATAGCCTGAGAGGCTTTCGGACTTTTAAAGGAGCCCAGCCTTAGAGACTATGAGAGTGTAATAGCAAGTGAACAGTTGTCGCGGTCTGTCGATGAGGGAGGCGGGAGGCTGCATCCATCATCCACCCGTCATGAGTACCCGAATCAAGCAGACAAAGGACCGACTACTCAGGTGTTACTGCCGCCCTGTCATCACGCGAATCGCTCCCGCGGCCAGTTCCCATCCATGGCCGCAGACGGTAAGATAGCTGTTTATGACCACGTGAGTCCGACCCAGCCACGGGCTGAACCTGTCCCTACCCCATCGATAGACTACAAAACTGTCCACATTTTGTTATTGTTCTTGTTGCTGCTGTTGTGATCTCCTAGTATCTAAAGCTGGTTTCCTGTAGAAGTACGAATGCTCGGCCCGACATAACTGCTATTACAGTGACCGCATGTCTTTTTTCTTTGAAACAAACGCCAGAGGCTCGCATATTTGCCTCTGTCCGTGAACTATTTCTACATGGACTTTTTGTTTTGAGGTTGTGTACTGCGACTTCAGAGGGACGCACGTAGTGCCACGGGGTTTCCTGTGACTGGTTGGCAATCTGAGGTTGCCTTATGTTCACAGCATTCTAACCCACCTTGAATTGCGATCACGTTGTCGAACGTATTCTTGAGAAGGATGCGCCAACACGGTGATATAAGGTAACTGAATTGCCTCGAAATCTGCGCAATACCGAAGGTCTTATTCGTCAGGCAGCACTCAAATACGATGTTATTTGGAAGGCAACAAATAAAACTTATTGCAACTAATTACCCTTAATACTTGGTACGAGCATTTGCTATGGCAAGAAGATTTGCGAACCACTTAACGTGGGATAAAAATATTAAACGCCATCATGGCCAGCTTCAAAGTTTTCTATAAGCTAATGTTCCAGACACTTTAGGATTCCGGAAGATGAGAGAGTGAACATGTCTTTATTACTACGATAGCAAAGTATTTAAAAAGTATAAACAAACATAAATGGATACTTAAACTTTCGCCTTTGAAACTAATGTCCGAGCTCCCGGAAAAAGGCTCGCAGTTCATTCCTATCGAGCTGGCCATCGCCATCTTTGTCAATGGAAGCAATAAAATCCTTCACTGAATCTATGTCAAGTCCTGAACCTTTCAGAGATGACAAAAGCTCCTCGGCGCTCACTTTTCCAGACTTATCGGCGTCTAGGTCATCCATCAGCTCGTCAATGTTAACGCTGTAGAGATAGCGGGAAAATAACTTTGACTTACTTGAATGACATCGGAACTCTTCACAAAAGACTCTGGTAGTTTCCCTGCGGGCAACTGCCATGATGCAATACTTATAGTAGTCAAGCCACCCGAGCGTGATTGGACTTTGTCAATCCTGTTGAAATGCAATGAGGAGTACATGTTCAAATTGGATAGGTGTGTTTGCCAGTCCCCGGTTATTGACACAATCCCGGGAACACAACAGTATGCAACGACAGTGATGACGTGGTCGCCAAGGACAGGTGTAAGAGGGGCACGGTTGTAATAGGGGCTTAACCTGTTCCGAACATACGGATGAGCACAAAAGGGCTATGGTAATGCCAAAAACAAAACAAGCCTAGATAAGACGTATTGTTTAACGCTAGAAAGGGGGCGCTAAATTAGGAAACAAGAGAAAGTGTAGGCAAGTAGGTGGTAGAAGTTACCGATGTGACGAGGATTGGCTGACAAAGGAAAGGGAACTTATCATAGGCCAACTGACCTATGAGGACGCGTGGAGGACTCTCAAGGTCACAGCACAAATTGTGCAATGTAGTCAGCGCAGTGGAAGGCGGTCGACAGCAACGTGTTGTTATTGATTCGGGGACCAGTCGTGCTTTCACTCCAAAAAACTAGCAATTAACCTTATAGGAGGGAAAAGGCAACATTTATTCCCGAAAATATGTTAGAAATCAAATAAATTAGGAGTAAGACGGGACCCACAATGTAAAAGCGATTTTCTTCTAAAATGTACATCCAAAAATAAATAAATTAGGAAGAAGTAGGGATGAATGATGGAGATGCGAATTTCTCTCTGCAAAAAATCTAGCAGAAATAAAAAAATAGGATTCGGGAGTTGTTCTGGACGGAAACATCAACTTTATCCAACGAAAAATATATCACAAATAAGATAAAGTAGGATCACATAAGGATTTTGGACGAAAACGTTTCCTTTTGCCCCAAAATAATCTTAATTTATTTAACTTAAGTCAACTTAATTGGGGGCAGGCTCCCAAACAAAGCTGGGCAATGAAATACCACAATATAAGCAACTGATAGCAGAGAAGTAACACGACCAAAGCAAGTGAAACTCATAAAAACAGGACTATACAAATAGTTACAGTTGATGAGTAGCAGTGCATTAAAAAGGGGAGCACATCAGTATGCTACCCAATGCACAATATGCTTCGAGAAGGGCTGGAGACCGTGGAGCCATCAATAGCGGAGAAACTGTGAGTTCCAGGAGCAGTCGAGAAGGAGACACGTTTACCGGAACAAGAATCTTATTTGCTTAATATTTTCAGCATTTGCAGATGGTCGTACTTGATACGATGACTGCTCGGAAGCCCATATTAGAGTCGTTAACTGACGCATTTTCACTGTCACTGTTAATCATTGACATGATAACTGCTCACCGAGACTGTCACCTGAAGCGGTGTTCGCAAGCATGCTTCCTGCGCAGCTAAGCGCTCTGTCCAAACAACCTCTCGACACCGAAGATGAAAGAAAGGTCGTCGCGTTTGATAATAGACTAAGGGTCGGAGAAAAGCGACACACATGGCCCGCTGCTCAAACAGCCGACACTTCTCGCGAGAATTTCGGTCTGGTCGAATTTGAAAGTGTGGCCGAGAACTTCTGAATCAGTCGCAGCTGGGTAGTTGGCATTTCTCCTCATTACTGCTACCACATGCTCGGCCAGCTATCTCTAGTATAATTATATAATAATTCAGGTACCCCAAGATGCCGGCTTTCGAACGAACTTCCCCGGGCCGCACGCAGAAACTATATTCTGTAGAAAGTGGCTACTTAAGTGGCATACATTTTTCTCATCGATTTTCGATGCCCTTAAAGGTTCAATTATATTTCGTGGAAAACATGCATAAAAATATTCATATATATTCATAAAATGTTCAAAAAAATATTCATTCTTTTGATCATTCGGTAGAAAAGTACGCCTTCATCCAATTTGATACTGGAAGGAAGGGTATAATTCCGTTTTAAAAAGTTTCTAATTGTAAGATTTTTAAATACCGTGAAAGGGCCGTTCATATAACGTCATGTCTCTATATTCAGTAATGTGACTTGCAAAATCAACAATATGGCTCAAGCTCACTGCTAAATTCTATGAACCCCATATAGTCTTCTCCTAATACCGTAGTTAAATGTATGGTTTTTCGCACACGGAAAATATATGGCTTGTAGTTTGGAGACCTTGAAAACAAGTGTAACGGCAGGTCGGGTTCAAAATCATTCGGGAATTGGAAAAGGGCAACGGTATAGACAAGGACCCCACTTAACTGCCAGTAGACTGGCGATCGTGGCATACGTGATTTATCGTAAAGGGAGTTTTATGGGTGGGGCAGTACGCTAGACAATAGGCTGACGAAATGAAAGAAAACACAGAAACTGTCTGAATTTATGCCGAAAGTCTTATCGTATGCTATTGTACGACAACGGAAATGAGAGTAGCAATTAAACAACAAGCAAAAACTCAATTTTACAAAATAACGGATTTTGAGTTAACATGTGAGATCGTGGAAAGAACTCGCTGTTGGCAGTGCAATTGCTGCAACAGTCTGAAAATGTACACTAAGATGAAACCACATATGACACGATCCACAGTCTGCTGGCAGCTAAGTGGGGTCCTTCTCTATACCGCTGACAGGAAAAGTTTTTGCAAACTGCACCATAATCTTATTTGAGCATGAAATGGAAGAAGACGTAGTTTTCAATCGAATGAGCCAAAGAATGAATATTTTTATGCATGTTTTCTGCGAAATATAATTGAAAACGAGTCAACGCTCACGGAAGAGAGCGGAATTGGGGGCCAGAGGTCATGTGACCAGAGCCGAACACTGTCTCACCGATGCGCCCGCGAAGCTGAATGCTGCTCACCTGAACAGCAACGACCGATCAGTTCACCGGCTGACGTAGGAGGGGCCAAGCGGCACGTTGATTTGACCACAACTAAGCCGACCCTAAAGCGAACAAAGGTCACGCAGGCCTATCAGCGGTCAGCTCCGGGGAGGTCTAAGCCAGTCAGCGGCAAACAGGCAGGTCAAAGTTCGTGCGTCCAGCACGGCTATAATACGAGGCAAGCGGCAAGACTGAATAACTCAAGACCCGCAAGTGCAACAATTACGCTACTCTGATGATGGAAACGAGGAAGTTTCCGAAACGTCAGTTCGAATACAATATGATCCATGGATTCGCCCTCTCTTCTTCTTCGTCTTCTTCGGGAGATGATGAACGCGATACAACGTCTGGACCTCGAATCTTTACGCATATAATTGAATATTTAAGGGCATTGAAAATCGGTGAGAAAACTGCATGATACTTACGTAGTCATTTTTTACAGAGTATACTTTTTACATGCAGCCGGAAGGAAGTTTGATTGAAAACCGGCATCCTGAGGTAATCGAATTACTGCAGAATTAAACTGCATGATGACTGGTTTTAGAACCCTATTTAATCAATCTTTTCGAAGCGGAAACGCATTTCAGAATTTCGGTTAACGTTTCATGAGCTAGCACACTTACTGTACGTCTTTTGACTGAACTTTAGTAAAAATCAATCGTTAATTTGGTAATTAATCATCAGAATGCTACATTTACATGGACAGTGAATGTGTGAGCCATGTACAGGGTTTAGGCGTGCTTTGGGGACTTGGCCAAACTCGTTCCCACGTCGCCCGCGCGACAAGGTCAGCGTGTTGTCGTTGATTGGCCTGAGGTGGGGGCGTTGGGGGTGGGCTCTGAGCGGTGTCTGAATGCCAAACCCGTGGGGTGCGCCTGATCATCGTGGAGCCATTTGGCCTGAGTGCGAACACCACCCGCAGTCGGCCACGGAAGATAGACAGCTTGTAACAACGTCTTTTGACAATAAAGAGCTGGATTCGTTAGATAAATAGCTATCATCTCGACTGTTGCCGGCCCCCACGGGCGCAGGCCTAAACAGGAGTTCGCTGGTGCTCCCTAGACAACCTGAAAGGCTTCCTTGGCGTCAACTTGGTGAGTCGTTTCGACTATATGCCCGAGGATAGAACATGAAGCAGATCAATTTTCCTCTCTACTTAGCTAGGCAGGTACCCTCTTTTCCAGACGCCTGTCTGCTCGGCCAATGTCGACGCCAAAGAGGCCTTTCAGGTTGTATACCGAGCAGCAGCAAAGTACTGTAGAGGTCTACGCGGTGGTGGCTATTCAGCTAAAGAATTCAGCTCTTTTTTGTCAGAAGACGTTGGTGCAAGCGGTCTGTCCTCCGTGGCCGACTCCACGTGGTGATCGCACGCCGCCTCAGCCGCCTAATGACGATCAAGCGTAATCCGCGTGTTAGGCATACAGACGTATGTTTGTCAAACAGACTTAGGATATCCGCAGAATTTATAAATTCAGGAGCTTAAGAAACAAATCTAAATAATATTCCAGACCTGTCTGGTATTTCCGTTCCAGGTCGTACTCCAAGCCCAGTGACGCATGAGAGAGAGGGAGGTGAAAGAGAAATATGTTCGCTAGTCGGTTTGTTCTTATGATTCTTCAACCTAATAAGTTATTCGTAATCTTTAAATTAGTACTTCCCGATTTGCTTGCAAAGTTGGACTCTTGCCGCAGGACCTAAATATGCGGCTTTGGGGAACATAGCCACGAGCAAAATAGCAGTTTTAAACTCCTGGAACCGAATATATAAATGATTTCCCAAGTATCTTCTTATTACCATCGCACAATTTAAAAATCATAAGTCCCCTGGAGACAAAACAGTGTTATTAATGCGAGAAAGTTACTGACTAATTCGATTGCAAAATTTTCCACATAGTTGAAAGGCCAAAACTTAAAAGTACATTGTCAGGGAAAAGTCATCTGACTATATTACCAGTTAAGTAAAAAACCCGCCTAAGTTGTGCAACTTCATTCATGACAAAGTGCGCAAGAGAATATCTGACTACCAACTGGCGAGTACAGAGCATCGACAAGAGTAAAAGTCTCATCACCAATGAACAGTATGCGGAATAGATTCCAACACGATAGACCGCTATCTT